TCAAAATTATTGCAAGTGAGCCGACGCTGCTGCTGATGAGGATGATGATGTGTGCAAGAATTGAGTTTTGATTGCTCCACCGATCAACAGGGGAGAGGCGGGCTGGCAGTCGGCGTGAAATTCTACCAAAGGGGAGACGCGGACAGCGGCGGATATCCTTTACGGTTTACCCCAGTTTTAGGGGCTCCTTGCGATGGATTCATGGAGGTTTGCGTACGTCCAAAAGGCAGGCACTTCCCCCATCCCCTCTCCCCTCTCACTCCTCTCTGAAGATAAGTTTAGATTGTGTGTGTATCTGTTTGTGCTTGTTGTTTTCTCAATTTTGTGGGCGATGGATATGGGCGAAGGGTACTCCTCTTGTCCCGTGTATTGATCTATTCAGCGGATGGCCCCTATATTGGCATCGGTGCGGCAAATAAGCGACGCCAGCTGGGGTGGTGTTGGGGTTGTTGGAAGGATGATGATGATGGTATGTATGGGCCGTCTTGGACGGCTGATAGCTAACTACTTCCCCGGGAGGGAGGAGTGCCAATGTGCTTGGCTATTTGCCCTTGGGCACTTGTGTTGTTCTTTCTTGGGTCGTCGCGTCTACGAGATCGCTATACTGGCCTATGAGAAAGAAGAGCAAGGAAAGGGATTGAGTGAACTGCATGAAGTCAACAACAGGCTTGCGACTAAATCTTGTGATATGTGACGAGAACGCACAGATGGTGACGGAACCCTGCATATACAAAGTAGACTACTCCGTACTTTGAGCAAATGCCGGCGTCAAAGCGACGATTTGGCTGTTTGTTACACCCATGACCTACTGCCCTTTACTCCACAGCAATCATCAACAGTAAGCATCCTTGGGGGGGCCAAACCACCACTGATCCAGCAAAACGGCTGGATGATCGGGTGGGGGAGGGCTTATCCAAGCGAGGATCGTCATGCCGCGCGTCTACGGGAAGATTTTCCAGGTACGCACAGTCAACACTTGGTCAGCAGGGCAGGACCCTGCACCAAACTTCCAAGAAGTGTTGTTCATTCTATGGAGTTACTGGTACTAGTTACTTGGTTGACATGGTCCGGGTGGATAGATGATGGGTAGATAGATAGTCGTTCCCTATGATGAACATTGCTAACCCCCCGTGAACGTCATTGGGTTGACCCGAGCGTTTCGCTTAGATGTCACGACGAACCGTTAGGGGTAGGGCTTGCGAGGATTGATTGATGGATGGGTGATTGATTGATTGATTGATGATGATAATGGTGATTAAGAGGATGTGTTTCTTTCTTTAGTGGTTCCTTTAGATTGGGTGTCATCTTTATTATTGGCCTGTCAGTCGGGGGCGCAGTGTTGCCATTTGGCCCCGTTGCTATGGCGGTGCAAAGGCTTGGGGGGGAAGAGGGATTGCTATTTTAAACCGGAGTGGGTCGGGATCGATTTGTGGCTGCGGAAATCGTCCAAGTTGGCGGGCATCGGGATCGAGGAGAGACGGTAGAGAGATTCGTCACGGATGGACCGGATGATGTCAGTTGTCCCTAACCAGTAGCTATCTATCCATATAGGGGGGAAGTGGGAAAGAAGTGTCCGGTTCGGTGTCTGTGAGAGGGAGGGATTTGACAAGGCTGAGAATGGCACGTGTCAATCGGTATCGGTAGCTGACGTGTTGATGCACGGTAATTAGTAGTTGCTTGGTAGTGATAATTAGGGATCTACCGTTGAGAATCAGACTGTGATAGATTAATATTACGCTGCATGTATAGCCGTGCTATGCACCAGAGTGCTACTAGTATGTCCGATGTCAATGCGATTGTCTGATCATATCGGGCCCGTGTTACTATGATCGGACAGCATCGAGGACCATAATCCTAAAGCGTGAGTGTTGTGTATATTCTTAGAACTGCGTAACGGCCGCCGAGATGAAATTCTGCTGAACAAGCACCGTCGGGGCATAATGAGGGTGGAGCCCCGGAGCAAGATGCCGGCGCAGATTGGATGGAGCAAGCCATCAATATCGATAGTGGCACCGAATATCAGAGACACTCAACCGGCGGATGATGTAAAACATCCGCACGCTACTAAGTCGTTTTGGGTGAATTGTCCTTCGACATTATCCGGTTGAGATGTTGGACCCTGACACACTAGATTTTATTTTTATTTTTGTTTTCTTGAAGGACAGCAGCTCCGTCGACATCATCAAGAAAGTCTGTCGGGGTTGACCGTTCATGAAATGGAAACTTTGAGGAAACATGGTTCAATTCAGGCGGAGTCGATCTTTAAGTTCAGAGATTTTTTGATGTGGGATGCCTGACTGGCCAGGCCAGATGATTCAGGCACCCGAGCAGGTTCCTTTCCCCTTCCACTTCAACCATCAACTTGATACAAAACAATATAGAATGCTACTAGTATATTAAATTGACAGGTATTAGAATAGATTAGAAACAATCATAGCTCTGCTATCCACAGACATCAAAGCTTAGACATGAGAATGAACTGGAGCTCTGTAGCTGTCAAGAATAGTAGCACTGGATTCCCAAAATATCTCTCATCGCAAGCACTTCTCGTTTTAGGCGCCATTTTGAAACAGGCCGGTTCCACCAGGCCGGCGACCCTCCAGCGCCTCCATTCGATCCCTCGCCGGTCGGGAGTGCGGAGCATTGAATTAGTATTGATGACAGGAATGATGGCTATTGAACTATTTAACTATTTAACCAATGCTGCAGTGACCTTTCTTGTCCTGATTACTAGTTTATAAATTAGTCTAACTCCTCACTCACTAAACAACAAACGACAGTTCCAGTCGAAGTCAAGTGGGAAAAGAAAAGAAGGAACTTGAGTGGTCACCCTACGAGCGGAGGAGTCCAGCCGCCAACTGACAAAATCGACACAAAACTCGGCCCCAGTTTCAAAAGCAAGAATCGCTGGCTCTCGCCGAGTCACATCTTCTCCTCTTTCTTTCTTCCTTCCCTTCCTTCCTTCTTTGCTTCCTCTCCTCTCTCCTCCTTCTTCCCTATATATCTACTATCTACTTACACTTGTCTTTCCATTCTTATTTTATCATCATCATCGCTGGGGATCAAACATTCGCTTAGTGCTTTGATTCATCGTTTTTTTCTTGTATTCTTGTCTTTCTTCTTCTATTCTCTCTTCATTCTCATTCCCCCCTCTCCGATCAGCCAACCCCTCTTGTCAGCCAACCGCCGCTTCGTCCAGCCAATTAACCCCACGGCCCTCTTTGTTCCGACCACCTCGTCTAACTCCTCCTCCTCTTCTTCCTCCTCCTCTTACTTATCACACCTTCTCCTCTTTTCCCTCTTCCTCCTTCTCTTTCTCTTAATCTCTTCCCCCAGTTTCCCCCCCCCCCCCGTCCCTCTTTCAAAGTGTCCCACTCAAACACCGCCGATCTGGCTACCTTGGCTGACCCCAACGAGTTGTTTTTGCCTGGTGAGAGGCAAAACAATCTCGCAATGTCATCCTCGCCGGTTCCTCTCCTCAAGCCGCCCGTACCTGGCAACCGCGGCAACAACAGTGGTTCCCGACCTCCCAAACTCACCTTGGGAATCCCTCCATCTCCAAATGTTCGTCCGGTCACGGGAACCGGCGTTCCTGTCGCTACCGCCGCCGCCGCCGCCGCCGCTCCCGCTCCCGCGCCTGCTGCTCCAGCAGAGGTCCCTCAGCTGCAGCGCCCAGCAGCTCGCCCAGCGCCTCCCCAGCTACGCCTGAAAACTCCCATGGGCAGCAGTCAGAATGTGCAACAAGTGAAGAGTCGACCCGCTCCGCCACCGTTGGCGACCACCGGCTTGAACGAACCGAACGGACACTCGAGATCGGGTAGCTTCACGTACCTGGACGGGAAGGCCAGTGGGCCCGCCTCCGCTTCCTCCTCCAACTATTCAGCCCTATCGTTCGCCATGGGCCTTCGCCAGCCTCACGGCAGCACTCCGGATCCGTCGTCAGCGATTTCTGTCTATTCCGACCGGGAGAGTGGGGTACAGATGGAGCGCGATAGCAGTGTGAACAGCCTAATTCCGGATCTGGACAAGATGAGTCTGGAAAAGGGCAGGCCCCTCGATGTGGATGATTTGGACGATGAGGCTTGGCTTGCAGCGAGTGAACAGAAGAAGATCGTGGAATTGGGTAGCTTGGGTGAGGGCGCAGGAGGTGCTGTCACTCGATGCAAGCTCAAGGAGGGCAAGACGGTGTTTGCGTTGAAGGTGGGTTTCTTTCATTTCGCATTGTCTGGTGGTTGGGATGCTAACGCTCTCTCTAGATTATCACTACGGACCCCAACCCCGATGTGAAGAAGCAGATCGTTCGAGAACTCAACTTCAACAAAGATTGTGCCTCAGAGCACATCTGTCGCTACTACGGTGCTTTTATGGACAAGTCAACGGGGACCATTTCTATTGCAATGGAATTCTGCGAAGGTGGCAGCTTGGACAGTATCTACAAGGAGGTCAAGAAGCTTGGTGGACGGACGGGAGAGAAAGTGCTAGGCAAGGTTGCCGAGGGCGTCTTGAACGGGTTGACCTACCTTCATAGCAGAAAGATCATTCACCGAGGTCAGTCGAGTTCCAGATCCGCAGTTGCTTATCATTCAGCTAACACGTGTTTCAGATATCAAACCATCGAATATTCTTCTTTGCCGAAATGGTCAGGTCAAGCTTTGTGACTTTGGTGTCAGTGGAGAGTTTGGCACCAAGGGAGACGCCAATACCTTTATCGGCACATCGTACTACATGGCCCCTGAACGCATCACTGGCCAATCATACACCATCACCTCCGACGTGTGGTCACTCGGTGTGACCTTGCTCGAAGTCGCCCAGCATCGCTTCCCCTTCCCTGCCGACGGCACCGAAATGCAGCCACGCGCCGGTTTGATCGATCTTCTGACCTACATTGTCCGCCAACCTATTCCCAAGCTGAAGGATGAGCCGGACAACGGTATTCGATGGTCCGAGAATTTCAAATACTTCATCGAATGCTGGTACGTGCTGAAATGCTTACTGTATCTGGATCATGCTAACTTTTCGTCTAGTTTGGAGAAAGAACCCCCCCGACGAGCGACTCCCTGGCGGATGCTCGAACATCCTTGGATGCTGGACATGAAAAACAAAAAGGTCAACATGGCCAACTTCGTAAGGCAAGTCTGGGATTGGAAAGACTAGATTGCCTGCCTGCAGCAACTGGATCTCGGCAATCATTCATGCACCTTCCGGACGGAATGCTCCACCTCTAATACGATCGCACATAACGGTCTCTCCTTTGATGCTTACAAGTGGCTGGCCCTTGGTTGACCCGGATGTCAAAAGCATACGAATTGTGATCATGACGACACTCATTTTCTTCGCGGCACTGTCTATCCTTTATTGGAATCATGGAGTTGGGAATGTTTTCTTCATTATCATCACCCGACATGATCACGCCTTCCTTTAATTTGCCTCCCCGCTGGTTCAGCATTTGTCCCGTCCTGTGCATTGCGTCCGATTGTCATCTCGGTTCTTTATTTCTACCCAAAACCGTTGTCATTCCATCCTGCAACCTGAGGTTGTTTCTGTTCAAAACCATCGCCAGCGGTGCTGACGCTTGTTCCTCTTTTCCGGTTGAGACGGGGAGAGATTGGTATCCTTGGTTTCTATTTATCATCTATCCTGTCGAGTTTGTTCCATATATCATACTACATACATTATCCTCTTATCATCCTCATCCATTGATCTGGTTTATCATCATTTCCGGCTTTCATTCTCCGATTGTACGCATGCAGATACATACATACAGCCACACGGAAGACATATTCATTTACAGTCTGATTAGCCTGTTCTTTCTGCTTGTGAGCGTGCGTTGTGACAAGGCAGGGTCCGCATATTGTGTATAGTGATTGGCACCGGAATAGCGATACAGGAATATCAAGACTGATTTCATTAGAAAGGTTGTCCTCCATAAACATGAAGTATAGGATACAGTGGATCTACTACTCAATGAACCACCGCCTCATGTAAATGAACTGCTAGAAGATTTTTGAAGCCAAATAAAAAAAAAAAAAAAAAATGGAAATGAAAACAAAAATAAGAAAAAGTTTGGCAATAAAACGAAGAAATGAATAGAAAGCACTTTAAATCACCAGACCAGCATACAGATCAGTCAAAGTGACTGCCTCTTTCCAGAAAACACCCCTCTTTTTCCTTCCTTCTCTCTCTCTCTCTATCTCTTCTCCATATCAAAGTCATCAATGATAGTTTTAACTCAAGCGTTACTTATTCATTGATATGTATAGAAGAAGACTTGGACCAGATACTAGCAAAGGAGAGGGGGGCCGAAAAAAAAGAAATGGTTATGACTTGTAGTTATCCTCTCATTCATTAATATGCTAGATTATGCATGCAACCTTTCACTCGTTTACTAAACCCACTAACCCACTCACTCACTCATGCAAAGCTATGGTTGAATATGGACGATATATGTATAGAGGGAAGTAAGAAGAAAACAATGTTGTAGGAAATTCACGCTTGAAAACAGACAAATGAGGATAAGATAGCTTCTAGCTTTCTTTCTGTGTCGGAGGGGAACATTCCCATCTCATGGGCTTCAAACAATCATGTCGTATTTCGTAATCTGACCTTGAATTAAGTGGGATCTCAAGGGGGTGGCGGTTGTAAATCGATCACCGATTGACAGGCTGAGCACCCAACACCCAGCCAATACCACTGACTAGTCCATCAGTGACCATGTTACTGACGACATCTCTCTTGCGGACGCGACCTTCGCCGTCTGGGTCCTCGTTCGACATGGAGGAGCCGCTGCGGAGATGAGATGCAGAAGGGACGGAGTGGTCGTCCTGGTCGTGGGTGTTTGTCTTTGCGGACGCTGTAGCTGACCGGAGCGGGAAGGCATTCTTCTGCAACGCTAGTGCGGCGCCGCGGGCTACCTCGAACAGACCCATGGGAGCTTCTTCATGATGCAGACGGTTCTGTGAGGCATGCGCCCGTGCTCGTCGGGCTTGATGCTGTCGTGTTTCGAACGCGTCTTGTTCACTGTCCGTGGGGCCGAAGCCTCCTGGAAGGGTGGTGGAGGTGAGATTGTCGGCTTTCGTGTCCCAGATGTCCTCTTCCTCGGATTCGCGTGCACGGAGGGCTGCGAGTTCCTCGTCGCAGCGGCGCCAGGCGCCCAAGATTTCAGGAAGAGGTTCGGGTTTCGGGGCGAGTACAAGGGCGAGAGAGAGGAGTTCCATGCGTTGGGAGAGGTGCGTGATTTGGGTTTGGTTGTTGGGGGTGGCGCTTGTGGCTGGGGCGCGGTAGCGGCCGGCGTTGTAGACGGCTCGCCAGGTGATGTCGTCTTTGGGGGATGTAGGATTGGTGAGAGGGGAGGATGTGGGAAGAAGGGATGGAGGAGTGAGACGGGTGAGAATGTAGGAGTAGGCCGTGCCGAAGTCGTTTGAGGAGAGGGCGGAGGAAATGGCGAGGGACATGATACGGCGTTCGGCGGTGATAGCGGCATCTTCCTGTGAGGGAGGGGATAGGAAGGGGGAGACATCTTCGTCAGATGGAGAGTGGGAGACGCCTGCGAGGACAAGGTTCCGGCCAATGGTTAATAAGTCGTCCAATTTGGTGTAGCTCTTGGGGTTCTGGTCGAGAACTTTTTCGATCAGGGAGAGAGGGTCTGGGTGGACACGGATGCTGACTGGCTGGAAAGGGACGCCGTGCTGCAAAGTAAGGGAGTAGAAAGACAGGGCGTGTGTGGCGGATATGAGAGCTTGGATCTGCTTGAAGGAGGCAGAATCTGAGAAGTGAGGTTGGAAAGCTTGTAGACTGCAGGGCATTAGCGTCTGTCCAAGGCAATGCGCGTTTATTTTTTTTGACTTACATGTCGTATGCTCGCTTCATTCCGCCCCTGGTCCTATTTCCGTTGCTCGCGTTGTCGTAGGCTGTGAAGATAACCTCTTTGACGGCTTCTTCAACTTGTATAGAGCTCAGGGTCGAGCCAGAGACAATGTAAATGCCCACAGCAAGGTGGTATTCTGTTGTTGTTAGTAAAGGCAGAATAACAAAGACATTTTCCGTGCTCACCTTTGGCTTCAAGCAACGCTTTCAATGTTTCTGCCTCGACAACATCCTGCGGAACTCTCCAGAAGAGACCATGGTAGGCGGGATGGTCGCTGGTGTGTTCCGTGTGATCGGCTTGCCAGTCCCGTAGCCATAGCAATTGTTGGCGAGTCTTGCTCCAGTCATGACCCGATCTTGCTTGTCTTACGACAGAGGCTATGACACTGCGCAATTCGAGCAGCTGCGTTTCCTGATTATTGAGGAGACTGATACTTGCCGCCGTCCTGCACGGGGTCGGATGGCCTAACTCGTTTAGTATCCGAAGAGAGAGGCAGATACCACTGAGGAAGGAGATTGAAGAGGCTGAAGGGCGCGTCAGAGGGTTTGAGGCCACCAGCAGAGCATTCTGCAACAGAGATACCCTTGATGCCGACGAGATCGGCGCCGGATCGAAGCTCACGCTCGGGAATTCTGAGTTGTCTGGTGAAATGAACGAATGTTCTTCGAGCTTCAGGTACTCCGCGATGCGCGCGAGTACTCGGACGGAACCGTCCAGCGCCGGAGGGCTGGGATCAGCGTTCGCATATACGACAGCAAGCCCAGTCTGTCCGTACCTCCTTCGCAAGTCTCGCAGCTCATCGTCGGACAGGCCTTCATTCTCTTCGGAGTATCCGCCTAAATCGACATCCTCAGGCCCATCCCAATTGACGAAGGCGTTCACCGCGCTCTCATGATCAACCAGGCTTCGTGCCAGCAGCCACTCATTGACTTGCTGCCATCCGACACCTGAGGCTGATTTTGGTTGCGCTTCATCCTGAGGTAGGACAATCGAGGTCTCTTGCATCGCTTCATTGAGTCTCCGTCTTTTAGAACGGTTACTGCCATACATCCACGCACCCACAAGGCCGCGTAGGTTCCGTACCAAGTCCATGCTGCTCTTTGTCGCACCAGTCATCGAAAGAAGGACGTTGATCGCAATACTGTTGTCCATCGACTCCAAGATATCCAGCGAGAATGTTTCGTCTTGGCTGGGGTAATACTCGTAGTTCAATCGAAGTAGCGGTAAAAGACTAGAGATCAACCATGTGCGCAATACTTCCGAGCGTTGGTAGAAGGGGAGAAGAAGGTCGAGGACGAGGGGTTGAAGAGCGGTTTCTAAATCGATGCGATGGGCCCGGTGAATGAGGAATTTGGTGAGAAGGTCAGAGGGATCCTGGCTGTCCTCGTCGCCGGGATACTGTAATGGTAGTAAACGGATCTTCCGTACACGTTTCCTCACGACCGCGGCGGGTAGGTCTTTAACGGAGGAGGTATCGATACTAGCACCACTGGTTTCAGGTAGCTGTTCGTCTACCAGCGCCTGCAGCACTGGTGTGTAGGAGCTAGGCTCTGTGCTCTCGGGCAGAAAGGTCAAGATGATGCGCAAGACACGCTCGAGCGGGAGGTGGGCAGGAAACTTTGCCTGCAAGTGCGGAAGAGCAGCCACATTGCCGGTGGCACAGAGATGAGTTGCTAGAAGAATCGCATGAGCACCTGAGAGCCCTTGAAGGACCGCCATGACGTCTGAAGAGGGAGCAGCAGAGAGAGCATGATGGAAGAGGGTGATGTGTTCGGGAGACACAAAGACGTCAGGTGCACGGGCCAGGGCCGGGGCGGAAGGCGGAACAGGCGAATCATCGGCGAGGGAAGAAGAACCTCAATCGCGATCCTCACCTCCGCTCCCTCGCAATCCTAATCCCCTCGTCTTGCTCCCCCCCGTCCTTCCCCACCACACTCACTCACAATGGCTTCCGGTTTCGGTAACAACGGCGGTACGTCTATCTATCCTTAGCTGTCAAGGTTCATTGACAGCCAGAATGTCCGGGTTGGCCTACATTGGGCGCCCGACATGTCACTCTCCCGCGGACATTCCCGGCTAATCTCAATCGCTCTGTGCAGGTCCTTCCCGCTGCTACAACTTCTGGCAGGAGGTTCTCGGTTGCTACGTCGTTAACGGCGGAGAGGGTGAGGCTGGCAAGAAGAAGTGTGTGCCCGCTCTGGAGGATTACTACGAGTGCCTGCACCACAAGAAGGAGGTACGCCTATCTGTCTAGCTTCATGCGATCAAGTTCCTACTCAATTCTGCGGATCTTGCTAACATTGCCCCTTCGACGCTCAGGCTCTCCGCACGATGAAGATGCAGGCCGCCTACCGCAAGGCTGAGGCCGCAACCCCCCGTGAAAACGCGCCCAAGGCGGAACAGATTCGCAGTCTGGGACTGCTAGGGAAAGAGGAGGAGGCAGCGGCATTTTTGGCCAAGGCTTGAGGGATGATATGCGCATATCTGGTGCGAATACGTATTGATTTTTTCCATTGTCACTAAAGCTATGCTGTTTTTTTCTGTTTACCCCTGTGGAGTCCTTCGATGTATAGAAATGGACAGTTTCATTGATCAATTTTGGGGTCCTTGCTGCGATTTCGATGGAGGGTAGGATATCTGATCGGTCGACTAAGCCCTGTAGGACGTGACAGGTATCGGTGGTCTGGGTGTAGCGGAGTTCCACCGTAGCTTCTAACTCTTTGTGAGTAGTAGCTACCGGTAGTTGCAACAGCGGCTTCCAACTAGTAATTAGTCGCAGGGCTGTCAATTGAGATCTGAAGGGGAGCGAACTTTGTCCAAGTGGTGTTTTCATGGTCGTACTGGTGAAGCCGCTGCCAACATATGCGGGGATATATGATAGTAGCGAACTCTCAATATATATTTCATTGACCTCAGGATCTACATGCCGCCATGATACGGAAATTCACAATCAATACTAGGTTACGTTATTTTCAAATGTGGATCACAATGCTCTATTGATTGAACAAAACAATAAGCTGCCCTTTATTAGGACCAAGAATGGTTGAATAGACCGTTGATGGAATAGTTCGCGCCTAGACGTGAAGTAGTGGTAGGACTAGTAGTATGTGATCTATATTTTCTTCAAATAGGTTTCACTTGAAATACGGACTATCTGATTGGCGGAAATGACCAACGTCATCTACGCGGGAAATGACAGCTTGGGGAGGAATCGAACTAGTAAGTAGTTGGTTGGTTGGCAACTACGGAGTTACCAGCATTTCAGGCAACTGTCAAGAACCTTGTCACAACAAAAGGAGAGGGAATCACCGCCGAGAAAGAAACATTGGTTTGGGGGACGACCGGATTCCGAAACTTGAAGGAGGCCATCTGGCATTTCTTGGCGCTGTTGGTGGGCGATCGAAACAAGCTCACATGGCGGACTTGATGAGAATGTAATTTTATCTTGCTGCTAACTAACAGTACTAGTAGTAGCTATCTAGTGGTAGTAGTATGTAGGTGATACGTAGGCAGACGAAGATTAAGGAAAAAGACAAGGAAATGACTGCTACAAGTACGGAGTAGAGTTTTTTTCCATTTCCATTTTGTTTTTTTTTACATTACAAGCACCAATAGAGGAGGTTACCTCAGCTGTGCTGCGTGCAGGAAGCTGAGAGGACAAAAGAGGGTCAAAACTGGAGAGTTCAGCCGCGAAGGTATCCCGGGCGGCGCAAAATTCCGTGGATCAAACCGACCGGTCAGCCTCATGGACACGCAGGACAGAACAGCTTTGGGGGGGAAGGGAACTCGAACTCCAAAGGAAGGAATCGCAGTGCAGCAATTTCGCGCCTGTCGATCCAAGCGGCGGTTTGGCGCAGGGAGGAATCACGTGACCAGTAGAAAACCTTTACGGGAGTGGGGGGCGCTAACCCCGAGGCAGGCTAGCGCGCAGGGCCCAAGTATGGGTAGGCGCGCCCAGCCAAAGATGCCCCCAATGATATAAACAGGCTGCGTGACCTCGAGGGGAGGCAAAGCAGGACCGGAGGACGACTTGTTGATACTCCTGCGCATTTACTTTGCAGGCCAGACAAGGCTTGCTCCCCTTCACCACCACCTCCATTCCAGTCAACGCACCACCACCACCATCTCTTCACTCCCTGTCGATCCGATTCCATTCATCTCCTGGTCATCCGCAATTTTTCATTTTATTTTTCTCGTCCCGTTTCCCCATCCCGGCATTTGCCCTTCGTGACTTGTTTTATGATTCATTACTTGACCATACTTAAAAAGTAATATCGCCTTGGTCCGCGTCACGTCCAAACCGCCTTTCCCCCCCCCGATCATCAATACAATACCCGCGTTTCTTCTACTAAGCCGTGATCTCCACTTCTGTTTCCCGATCGCCCTTCAGAAACTGTCCAGCTTTGCTTAATTATTCACGCTTTGACGCTTCTCGATGGCTGTGACGTGGGTGTAACGGTCTTGTATACTTTACATACCTTACCTCTTTCGTCCACTTCACTCTCCTCTCACTCCCTCTCCTCTCTTCGTTATTCCTCCCTTTGTCTTACCATACCTTACTATACCTAATAATTATAGAGAGGTGTTGTGGGGGTTGTGGTGAATTACTTTCTAATATTGTGGATCATTTGCGACCACGTTTTACTTTTCTTTTTATGTTATTCTCTGCTGATACCCCTTTTCCTTGCGGATTCTGAACTATTTTATTTGTGAAATAATTCGTTCCTCAAAGTTCCGAGGAGTGACAGCCAGCCAGCCATGTCCTCCAGGTAAGTTTCCATCTGCCGTCCCGCCCATTCCGCATCCGTTTGGTACATGACGCTAACTGCGCCGCACTAGACTCGACCGGCTTGTCACGTGAGTATTACCGCGCCAGCAGCCCGCAGCCGGGATGAATGCACTGACCAATGATTTCCTTTGTAGGTTACTCGAGACGGGCAGCACGCCTCTCATCCGCAACACTGCAGCCCAGCAGCTTGCAGATGTTCAGAAACAGCATCCCGATGAGCTGTTCAACCTGCTCGGGCGCATTTTACCTTATCTCAAGTCCAAGTCATGGGACACCCGAACAGCAGCTGCCAAGGCGATTGGTTTGATCGTGGCCAACGCCGACACCTTCGATCCTAATGAGGAAGATGGTGAAACGATCAAGAAGCTCGACGAGGATGATGTAGAGATCAAGTCGGAGGAAGAGCAACCCTCTTCCCCAAGTGATTTCCTCCTCCAGCTCGAGACCTTGGACTTGGCATCAATCCTCAAGTATGGCAAGCGGCTACTGGGTAGCGCGGGTAAGGAGTATGAGTACTCGCTAGCCGCGATGGATCCGGTCTCCCGGTTGCAGCACCAAAAGAAAACTTTAACCTCCCGTCTCGGATTGGCCGGGGAATACATCGAGGAGGACTTGATCGACGATAATGATCTCGTCTTGAAGACCCCCGCTATCAAGGATGAAGCCCCGCAGAAGGAAACAAACCACCACAACTCTGCGCCACCGCTGGCATCTCCCATGGAAAGCGCTAACGGAGAAGAGTCTGGGTTGAGTAAGCGGCAATTGAACCAGCTCAAGCGGAAAAACAAGCAGAGCGCGAGGATGGGAGCCAACAAGGTTCGTGTCGTGGATTTGTCGACGCGGAGGCCCTCGGATAATGTCACCACCCCGTCGGCTACGACCCCCCACCCCATCAAGGCGGAAAATGGCGAAGAGAAGAACGGCGACTCGAAGCAAGACTATTTCTCCCTGGAAAGGTCGTCAGGCGACGACGACCAAAAGATCGTCTCGGAGTTCAAAGGGTCAACCGCCCCCGAGAAGCCCTTGATTCAACCAGACACCTCCGATGAAGGACCTAGCAACTCCTGGCCGTATGATCCTATGTGTGAAATTCTCACGATGGACATCTTTGATCCTAACTGGGAGGTTCGTCATGGGGCTGCGATGGCCCTCCGAGAGGTCATCCGTGTTCAGGGTGCTGGAGCTGGGCGCTTAAGAGGCAAAAGCAGGTCGGAGAACGATGTGCTAAACCGTAAATGGCTAGATGATCTGGCCTGTCGTCTTCTCTGTGTTCTTATGCTCGACCGTTTCGGTGACTACATCTCCGACAATGTCGTGGCCCCCATCCGAGAAACAGTAGGCCAGACGTTGGGTGCCCTTCTATCACAGCTCCCCTCTCGGTCTGTTGTCGCTGTCTACAAGTGCCTCTATCGCATTGTCATGCAGAATGACCTGGGCTTGGAGCGTCCCATTTGGGAGGTGTGTCACGGTGGTATGATCGGGTTAAGGTACCTGGTAGCTGTTCGGAAAGACATCTTGATCAAGGACCGGAGTTTGATGGATGGCGTACTAGAGGCAGTAATGAAAGGGTTGGGTGACTATGACGACGATGTTCGTGCCGTGAGTGCGGCGACGCTTGTTCCCATGGCGGAGGAGTTCGTCGCGTCCAGGCAGAGCACGCTAGGAAGCCTGATGAACATTGTTTGGGACTGTCTTTCAAACCTACAGGACGACCTAAGTGCCAGTACCGGCTCAGTCATGGATCTTCTGGCGAAGCTGTGTACCTTCCGCGAGGTCCTGGATGCCATGAAGGCCAACGCGGCCGTGGACCCAGAGTCGTCGTTTGGAAACCTCGTGCCTCGTCTCTACCCGTTTTTGCGCCATACAATCACCAGCGTTCGCTCGGCGGTCCTTCGCGCCCTGATGACCTTCCTGCAGCTGGAAGGCGAAGGTACCAACGAATGGGTGAATGGAAAAGCACTGCGCTTGATCTTTCAGAACCTCTTAGTGGAACGAAACGAAGGGGTGCTCAAGCTCTCGCTTCAAGTGTGGTCGGAATTGTTAAATTCCCTGGAATCTCGGGGGGTGTTCAAGGCTGATGGCGACCTCCTAAGCTACATCGAACCGCTCATCACCCTCACAATGTCACCATTCGGTGTCCCAAGATATCCTCTTCCCATGGACGCCTCACTCTTCATCAAGCCATCTGGGGTGCCTTTCCCAAATAGTGCCGCGGCCCCCGCAAAGTCCTCGCCCACCGCGAACAATGCCGCCGCCGATGGACCGAAGAAGCGCGGGCGGAAAGCGGAAAAGAAAGAAGCGCCCCCGCCTTCAGCTCATAATGTGGATGGGCACATGCTTCAGGGCGATATTGATCTGGTGGGCGCAGATACAATGCTGCGATCGAAGATCTACGCGGCCAGAGCACTTGGCAAGTTGCTCTTCCTGTGGGATAAGAATGAACTTCCCAGCCTGTGGCAAACTATCTTGGCTGGTCTCAGGCATACGGCGTCGACGTCGCAATTGTCGACAGCCATGATCGTCGAGGAGTACGCTAGGGTCTCTGGACCTGGCAGTAAGTATGCTTCCCTTCTCACTGAGCAGTTACGCCCAATCATCGAAGGCGAACGCCCCCTGTGGTACAGCGACATCGCATGCTATCTACAGGTTGCCCGCGCACAGTGCCACTCGCTCCTTTATGCGTTCAAAGATCACGCTCATGTTCCTGGGTCAAGACTACCCACGCTGGCGGTCGTTGTCCAAGGAGAAGAGCAGGCTGGGCCCAGTGCATTCTCTCTTGCCGACGCCGAAAAGGTTGCTGGGCCCGATTTTGAGCGGCTGAAGAAGGGTCTGGCCCCAGCCCAGCGTATCACCGCCCTCCAAGTTCTGAATGATACCCGTGCGACCGCAGAAAGCGCCATCGAGGAAGCCAGAAGTGTCCGGGAACAAAGGGATCTGCGTGTGCGGGCTGCCGCCGCGGGTGCGTTGGTGGCGTTGCACGACATTCCCAAGAAGCCAAGCCACATCATCAAGGGCATGATGGACAGTATCAAGAAGGAAGAGAATGCGGAGCTGCAACAGCGCTCTGCCACAGCTATCGCTTTCTTGGTTGAATATTACACCACTGCTACCAAACGAGGCCCCGTCGACAAGGTAATCGGCAATTTGGTCAAATATTGCTGTGTTGACACTTCCGAGACGCCCGAGTTTCACCACAATGCGACTCTGGAGAAGTCCATTCTGTCTCTGCGCAAGGAAGAGGACAGGCGCGACCATCCGGATGCGGCGAAGTTCGAGAGAGAGGCGAAGGAGGCGAGGATCATGCGCCGCGGTGCCAAGGAAGCTCTCGAGCAATTGGCCGTCAAGTTCGGATCCCAGCTTTTGGAGAAGGTTCCCAACCTTGCAACCTTGGTGGAGCGGCCTCTAAAAGAGGCTCTTGCCGGCGAACTTCCCCAAGAGATCCTCAATCCCGACAACGAATTGGGTCAGGAGGTTGTCGATGGCCTGTCAACACTGCGCGCCTTGCTACCGAAGTTCGATAAGGGTCTCCACCCTTGGATTATCGGGCTCATGCCTCTTATTGTCAAGGCTCTGCAGTGCCGACTTTCAGTCATCCGATATGCCGCCGCCAAGTGCTTTGCAACCGTCTGCAGTGTCATTACTGTTGAGGGTATGACCATGTTGGTTGAGAAGGTACTGCCAACCATTAATGATCCTTTGGATGTTCACCACCGCCAGGGCGCTGTGGAGTGCATCTACCACCTGATCCATGTGATGGAGGACGGAATCCTTCCCTATGTCATCTTCCTCGTGGTGCCAGTTTTGGGGCGGATGAGCGACTCGGACAATGACGTGCGCCTCTTGGCTACAACATCTTTTGCTACCCTAGTCAAGCTTGTTCCTCTAGAAGCTGGCATTCCCGATCCGCCAGGCCTATCTGAGGAGTTGCTCAAGGGACGAGACCGGGAAAGGAAGTTCATGTCTCAGATGCTGGATGTCCGCAAGGTAGAAGAGTTTCAGCTGCCAGTTGCGATCAAAGCTGAGCTTCGGCCTTACCAGCAAGAGGGTGTCAACTGGCTTGCTTTCCTCAACCGGTACAACCTGCATGGCA